GAGGCTCAGCGCCTTGTTGTCCAGGCTGGCGACTGTGCCACCTTTGACTGGCCAATCCCCCTCCTCCTCGTCCTCCCTCGTCTCCTCCTTTCTCGCCCTCCTCCTTCTGCCCTTGGCGACGCTGCCATTTGTGTTCGTGCCGCTGGCGCTGACGCGACGGGCGGACCGCGTGGCTATTCTGAGCTCTCCTGCACGTCCTGCATGCGCTGGCTTTGCCTGCCCACCCACTGCGTAGTGCGCCTCTGCTCGCCCAGTGCAGCCCACCACCTGCACAATCTGGTGGACTTTGGCGTGCTCGCGCGTGCCCCGTTCTAGCCCTCGCTGCGGTGACGTCACTCGGCCGATGGGGGAACAAGTGGCCCACGCGCTGTGCCGCTCTGCGCTCCCACCGTGCTGCGGAGGAGCGGCTGGCGTCGCCTGCGGTCGGCGGCGAGAACGGCTGTGGGCAGCGCGACGCCTAGGCGCTGCTTGCCCTCGCTCGGACGTCCATTTCCCGTGCATGTTTCGGTTTCGTGCGTGTTTTTGTTGCTCGATGGTCCAGGATGGCCCTCGATGGCTCTCGCCGTTCAAAAAAATGCGCACGTCCGAGCGTTGCCAAGGCTGGGCGGAGGCCTCGTATTACACGCAGGCTGCAGCGGGGGGCGCTCGCATCGGGCTGCTGAGGAGCTGCGGGTCAGCCGTGGGCTGCGGCGCGACGGAGTCTACGTCTTGGCCTTTGGGCGGCGGTTGGACTTACAGACCTGCTGCTGCAACCACACGAGGCTGTTGAAGAGCGGCAGGGCAGCGGGGGCCTTGCTGCTGCAACGAGCAGTGCGAGGCGCGACGTCCCGGCACCAGTCGCGGCCTCTGGGCCTCCAGATCTGGCCGACATCGGCGCGCTCCCCCGACACGCGGGCGCTGCATACCACTGTGCTTCCAATCGGCCGGGATTTCGGCCAGCGCCCGGTGTATCCGAGGGGCGGGCCACGTGTCGCCGCGCCGGTTGCTTCGCACACGCCCGAGCAGACACGAAGCTGGCGCCGCGGCAAGCCACCGGCAAATCCTGCGCCCGAGGCGGAGCTTGCCCTGGTGACCGAGGCGCCCTCTCCAACACGGAAGGCCGCGCGTCGGCACGAACGGCGCGGCGACACGTGGGCTTCCCGTGCCGGTGGCTTCGGGGGACCGGGCGTCGCCGGCGGCTGCAGAGGCCCGCGCGGCACGGCGGCGGACGGCGGGAGAGCCAGGTGCCGCCGCGCAGCCAGCGGCTTCGCCTGTGTGGGCTGCCACTTTGGGCTCTGCGTGCTCCCCGTGCTTTTCTTGCTTCTCCTCCTTCTTCTTCTTCTTCCTCTTCTTCTTCCTCCTCCTCCTCCTCCTCCTCCTCCTCCTCCCCCTCCTCCTCCTCCTCCTCCTCCTCCTCCTCCATAGCTTTTCGTTCTAAATTCCCCCCCCCTGTCGCACCCCCAGGCGTGTCGGTAGGGCGAGCTGGGCGTTGCCCCTGAGCTTTCCCCACCACCCACCTGACCCTGGAGCTTGAACTTTGCAACAGGTTCAAATCTAGAGGGCGGCACGTTTTCAAATGTAGCTGCCGCCTTGGCGCCGCGCACACTCGTCTCAAACATGCTCAAGAGCTTCACGGATGGAGGGCGGCCCGTTTTCAAAATGCGGGTCTCGCCTCAGCGCCGGGCGCATCCGTCTTAAACGTATGTAGCAGCTGGCGCCGCGCACGTAGTGTTTAACTGTTTCAACAGCTCCAAGGGTTCGCATGGTTGCAATCCAAGGAACGGTGTTCTGGCACGATATGGCATTTGCAGGACGCAGCAGTCATGTTGATTCGCGGTGCTAAATTCCCACGGATGGCGTTCGGGCGCGATTTCGGATTGGCAGGACGCAGCTGTCACGTTGACCTGCGGCGTTTAGTCCCAAGAATTGTGTCAAGGCACGTTTGAGAATTAACAACCGTTAATCTTCCAATGGGCACTTCCCGCAGTGAAGATATATTCTTGTACGGACCTTAGGAATTGGAGCTTGGCGGGAGGTGTTCTTGCAACATCGTTGATGTATATTGGGTTTGCACTGTTCCTCCTCTCCCTCCTCCTCCTCCTCCTCCTTCTCCTCCATTACTCTTTCCTCCATAATAGTTTGAACCTTTGTTCACTCCCCTCCTTCTCTCTTTGTGCTCTCCCCCTTCCGCTATGGACTCCCTGCCTGGCACCGCCGCTCGGTTCTGACTCTGATCCCAACCGCCGTCTGGCGGTTCTAACCCCATCGCCAATTGGCGAAGGTGCTGTGGGCACGTCAACCCGACCGCCAGACGGCGAAGATGCGCTTCGAGATTGTAGCCACCTGGCGCTACAACACGCTGGTCGGCGTGGAGCGGGGGCTGGTGACGAGGTTGCTGGGTGCGGTATGTAATCTCTTTTGGCTTGACTAGAATATCCTTCCTCACCCTCCTTCCTTGTCTTCCATCCCCCGCGCCTTCTTCTGCTCGTGCTCCATTGTCCCAGGGCAAGAGTTCAATCAGAACTGAGCCAGGAAATGGTGTGGCCATGAGTCTGCCGTAAGCTGAGGCCCCACACGCCGCCACGCTGGTCCCGTGCAGGCTGTGCCGCCCGGCGGAAGGGGACGAGGGGGGGGAGAAGCAGGCGGAGGAGGGGCCAGGCGGAGACAGCAGGCAGGCATTGTCCCCCTTCTGCCGCTCTCTTCTTTTCGTTCCGCCCTACATCGAGGCGTCGCGTCTGCTGCTCCCTTCCTTGGCCGCCCTCATCGGTGCGTCCTCCTCGGCTGCTCCCCTCCCCCCTGGGGCGCCACGGCGCGCGTGCGGGAGCCTTCGCGCGCGCCAGGCAGGAGGGAGGCTGCAGGACCGTTCGTGCGGCGAGTGGTCGCACCGGGCATGGCCGGGGGAGCTGCTGCAGGAGACCACCGGACTCTGGGCCTGAAGCCGCGCCTCTCGACGCTGCAGCTGCTGCTCTCTCGAGGGCCGCCGGGCGACCTCCGCTGCCTTCACCACCCTGCTGCCGAGCGTGCGCACGGCAGGCAACGTCGGCGAGCGGCGAGGCCCGGCAGGCGCGCGCTCCCCGGGTGCGCCCGCGGAGGCGCTCTCTCCCCTCGGGGAGGCCCGGCCCCCGCGGGCAGGGCACCGTTTGCACGGGCACGTGCCCGCGGCCGTGCCTCCGGCTGTTCCCGGGGGGCTCTGTCGTGCTTCGTGCCCAGGGTGTCAGCGCCGAGGGGGGCCTATCACACAAGATAAAAGGGAGCAGGAGGAGGGGGGATGGCGGGAGCCTCCACTCTGTCCTCCTCCTCCGCCGCCCTCCTGCTCCTCCCCCTCCAGTGTCTCCTCCGCTCCCTCCTCCTCCACCCTCCTGCCCCTCCTCCTCCTTCTCCATCCCTGCCGCGCCCCCAGACCTGTCGGTAGGGTGGGCTGGGCGTTTCGCCTGAAATGTCCATATCATTTACTTTCCTGGAGCTTGGAGCTTGCAGCAGCTACAAGAATGGTGGCCGCTTTGAAAATGCGGCTCTGGCGTTGGCGCCGCGCACATTCGTCCCAACATCTTGCAACGGATGCACGGATCGAGCACAGGTTGTTTTCAACATGGCGCTCTCGTCGTGGGGCCGCGCGCATTCATCTTCTTAGCGTGGCATTCCGAAATATAGGGGACTGTTCTTTTCTGGTTGTTTTGTTGTCACAATGGGGTTATCGCTCGACACTTCGCTCGTCGTACAGACCCAGAACTTCAACACATGATCATCGAAGTTTCGCTGGACACTTCCTCGCAGTACTCGACCACAAGCTGAAACTTGTGCAACAGCGACGCGGCTGGGGTGGGCGGGGGGCGGTCCTTCTTCCAGAGGGGGATCTCGCTGGACACCTCGATGAATTCTTTGATCACCTTTCTCGTGCTCCTGATTCTGCCCCGGAAGGATCCGCCACGGCGCTTGCAGCGGTTGGTGTGCGTCGGGCCCTGTCGTCTGCAGCGAAGCAAAAAGTTAGCCCCCCCCGACACATCGAGCCTGCCAATGCGGTTATTTTTGTAGCCAGATCTTTGTGTTCGGTCTTCCAGGCAGAAGAAGGCCGTAAGTGTAAAGCCTGGGGAAAAGGGGTTCCGTGGGGCCCCTGCGTCCCCCGCCCGCCCGAACGCGGTGGCGGAATCGCGCGGCCGTGCCTCCGGCTTTTCCGGGGGCTCTGTCGTGCTTCGTGCCCAGGGTGTCAGCGCCGAGGGGGGCCTATCACACAAGATAACAGAGAGCAGGAGGAGGGGGGATGGCGAGAGCCTCCACTCTGTCCTCCTCCTCCGCCGCCCTCCTGCTCCTCCCCCTCCAGTGTCTCCTCCGCTCCCTCCTCCTCCACCCTCCTCCCCCTCCTCCTCCTTCTCCATCCCTGCCGCGCCCCAAGACCTGTCGGTAGGGTGGGCTGGGCGTTTCGCCTGAAATGTCCATATCATCAGTACTTGCCTGGAGCTTGGAGCTTGCAGCAGCTACAAGAATGGTGGCCGCTTTGAAAATGCGGCTCTGGCGTTAGCACCGCGCACATTCGTCCCAACATTTCGCAACGGGTGCACGGATTGAGCACAGGTTGTTTTCAACATGGTGCTCTCGTCGTGGGGCCGCGCGCATTCATCTTCTTAGCGTGGCATTCCGAAATATAGGGGACTGTTCTTTTCTGGTTGTTTTGTTGTCACAATGGGGTTATCGCTCGACACTTCGCTCGTCGTACAGACCCAGAACTTCAACACATGATCATCGAATTTTCGCTGGATGCTTCCTCGCAGCTCACGACCACAAGCTGAAACTTGTGCGAACTTGTGCAACAGCGGCACGGCTGGGGGGCGGGGGGGCGGTCCTTCTTCCAGAGGGGGATCTCGCTGGACACCTCGATGAATTCTTTGATCACCTTTCTCGTGCTCCTGATTCTGCCCCGGAAGGATCCGCCACGGCGCTTGCAGCGGTTGGTGTGCGTCGGGCCCTGTCGTCTGCAGCGAAGCAAAAAAGTTAGCCCCCCCCGACACATCGAGCCTCCAATGCGGTTATTTTTGTAGCCAAGTCTTTGTGTTCGGTCTTCCAGGCAGAAGAAGGCCGTAAGTGTAAAGCCTGGGGAAAAGGGGTTCCGTGGGGCCCCTGCGTCCCCCGCCCGCCCGAACGCGGTGGCGGAATCGCGCGGCAGCGCAACTGGATACAAGGCAGCTCCTTTTCAAAGCGGGGCCATCGCCAAAATGGCAGGCCCAAATGTGCTGGTCTTCCAAGGGGGGCGCTTCTCGTGACGAGGCAGGCTTGTAGGGACGCGTGAACTGCAGCATCGCCGACGCACCTCGGGCTCGCTCTGTTCCTCCTGCTCCTCCTCCCTCCTCCCTCCTCCTCGCTCCCCCCCCCACCTCCCAGACCCCACCTCCCAACCCCCTCCTCCAGACTCCTCCATGCTCCTCGCTCCTCGCTCCTCCTCCCCCCCCCTCCCTCCTGCTCGCCCCCCCCCTTCCAGCCCCCTCCTCCAAACTCCTCCTCGCTCCTCGCTCCTCCTCCCTCCCTCCTTGCTCCGCTGGACCGCGCGCCGTCGGCACGCTCGCTGGGCCGCGGACGGGCCAGTTCGGGCTGGTGGCGTCGAGCTCGGTGAAGCCCACGCGGCTCCGCACGTCCTCTGGCTGCTGCGCCCGGATGCCCTCCCCGGTGCGGCAGACCTGCCCCCGGGGCGCGGCGCCGAGAGCAGCGGATCCGCGCTGCTGCTGCTCCTCCTCCTCCTCCTCCTCCTCCTCCTCCTCCGCCTCCTCCCCACTGCCCTCCCTCCCCTCCATCCCTCGTCCCTCGTTCCTCCTCCCTCCTCACTCCTCCCTACCCCCTCCTCCCTCCTCCCTCCTCTTCTCTCTCTCCTTCTCCTTCTCCTCCTGGCTTCCCTTCTTCGTTACAATGTAACAAGGGACGAGGGCGACTTGAGGGGGCCATGTGGCCCGCTCGCCGTTGTCCCTCATCGTTGTCGCTCGTCGTTGCCCGCTCTCGTTGTCCCACGTTTCCGGCCCGCGGCTGACCCCCTCCCGCCCGACCGGGCCGACCACGGCCAGGAAACGGAGTTGGGAGGGGGCGAGGGCTCGCCCCCTCAATGGTGGCAGGCCGGCCCGCAGCCATCAGCCATGATGATGGAGGGGGGCGAAGAGGAATGAATGAATGAATGAATGAACGAATGAATCGATCAATGGATTACTCGTGGAGTCCTGCATCGATCTGTGCCTGACAACCGAGCAGCTGAGACCTGCCTGCACCGAGACTGCAGACGGCTAAGGTTGGTGTCGCGTCTGCACATCCCAGCCAGCAAGACTGGAAGACAAGCAGCGCGCCCCGCGAGAGCGGCACCTGGCCGACCTGCACCCCTATGGACGGGCACGCAGCCCTAGGGGACGGCAGGAGGAGAGGGAGAAGAGGGAGGAGGAGGAGGAGAACCAGTGTACACCCAAGACCCATCAACGGTGTTGCAATAAACCCTTCCTCTGAGGTCCTTTTTCGTCGGTCGGCGCTTCTACAATGATGCATCCTCACTGAGGGAAGTGCTCCGTTGGAAGGAAGCCGCTTGGAAATCCTGAGCCGTGCCAAGACACCGTCCCTGGGGATTCAAAGCCGCGTTACTGTTGCGTCCTTACGATCCTGAATCGTGCCAGCACGCCCTTCCTGGGACTTCAACGCCTCGAGTCAACGCGCCTGTTGCGCCCCACGTCGTGACAAAGAAACAACGTTTGTGGAACGTCCACCATCCGAACCCTTGAAACGGGTGTGACCACTTAGGACGAATGTGCGCGGCGCTATGGCGAGAGCCAATTCTTGGAAAAGAGCCGCCCTCCATCCGTAAAGCTCTTGCAAACCTTCGGAACGAATGTCCATGGCGCTGTAGTGGCAACCACATTTTGAAAACCGCCCGCCCTCCACCCGCGAAACCCTTGAAGAACACTTTTAAGACGAAAGTGGGCGGCGCTAAGGCGAGAGCCACACTTTGAAAAGGAACCGCTCTCCATCCGTGAAGCTCTTGCAAGTGTTCATACCGAGTGCGCGCGGCGCTCACGCGAGAACCGCAGGTCGAAAACGGCCCGCCCTGCATCCGCCAAACTGGTGCAACCATTCAAAACTCATGTGCGCGGCGCAGCAGCGGTAACCACCTTTTGAAAACCGCCTGCCCTCCATCCGTGAAGCTCTTGCAAGTTTTAAATTTCAAGATCATACATGGTGATGAAGTCTCCAACGAAACGCCCAGCCCGCCCTTCCGACACATCTCGGAGTGTGACAGGGGGGATTATGTATAAGGGGTTTAATGTTTGCCACTGTGGACCCCAAACAATGTGTCTCTAGAATTTTCTGTTGCGCAATGAATGCTGTACCATCTATGTTGTACCGTCTAGGTGGTGCAGTCTAGATGGTGCAAAATGTTGCGTGCAGTCTATGTTGTGCAGGACCTGCTGTGTAACCTGCTGTGTGCAATATAGTTTGTGCAGCCTATTCGGTGCGACCTGTTGTGTGCAAGACGTGTTGAGCAATATGTGTTGTGCAATCTGGATTGAACAACATCTGTGGCGCAATATATGTGGTGCAATCGATGTTGTGCGATGTAACTGACAAGTTAGTCCATGCAATATATATATATATATATATATGTATATATACATACATATAGATGTATATAGATGGAGTGATCTATGTGGTACAATCAATGTAGCACAAGCTATTCGAAGCAATCTATGTGGTGCACAATCTTCGTGGAGCAGAATATGTGATGCAATCCATGTGGCGCAGTGTACGCGGAGCAATCTATGTGGTGCAACCTTTGTGGCACAAGCTATTCGAAGCAATCTATGTGGTGCACAATCTTCGTGGAGCAGAATCTGTGATGCAATCCATGTGGCGCAGTGTACGCGGAGCAATCTATGTGGTGCAACCTTTGTGGCACAATATGTGTTGTGCAATCTGTGTGGCGCAATGCAATACAATGCACGGCAATCCAATGCAATGCGACGCGCGGTGTCGACGAGGCGGCGACGGGGCGGCGACGGCGGCAACGTAGGCGCCAGACCGACAGACAGGCCCAGACGACGGGCGGCGACGAAGTGGCGACGACGGGGCGGCCAAGGCGGCCACATAGCCGCAAGACCGACAGGCAAGTCCAGTCTCATAGTGGGCAGCAGATACATCTAAGTGCAAGCACTGTCTGGGGAAAACGGCATGGATGAGGAGGAGGAAGAGGAGGAGGAGGAGGAGGAGGAGGAGGAGGAGGAGGACAGGCAGGAAGGTGGGGGCGGTATTGCCGAGCAGTTGGCACCGACGCAATGTGTTTTTGTGGCTTTGAGTGAAGGCGCTTCGGCAAGAAGGTAAGAACAACCCATGACATGAGCAGAATGTTTCGGAGGTCCTCGCGAATTTCTCGGATCGGCGCTGAGACCCCCTCCCCGGCGCGCGGAGCGCGCCAAGGGCGGCGCCAGAAGCGCAGGCAGGAGGGCCCTAGCGCCGACCCGAGAGATCTGTGCGGAGCTCCGACACATTAAGTTTATATCATTGCTTTTTCCCCGAATCTCGACAAGAAGACGGGAGTGAGCAGTTCAGGCTACGACATGGATAACATCGACCTCAGAAAGCTGGGGTCGCTCTCCGACTAACTCTCGTGCAAAGCGCCAGGTCGGGGGCGGGGGAGGGGGGGAAAGGGGGGGAAAAAACTTGTTTGTGGACAACTTTCCTGGGAGGATGCTGGACTTCGGATGCGGGGGGGGGTGGCTGGGAGGGAGAGGTGTGGACCAGATTCCTGGGGGACGTGCTGGAGTTCTGAGGGGAGGGGGGGGGGGGGGGCAACAATTCCCCCAACCCCCTACGTAGTATTTGTTTCATGACGTGGAGCCCCAGCGGTCTGAACCCCATTCCCTGGGACCAGTCTTTCATCCCGAGTCGTTCTTGCTGACGGCCCAGAGGCCCAGTGAGGGCACCCAGAGGCCGAAACGATCCGACACTAGGGAATAATTACTCCGACGGAAGAACCCCACATAAGAATCCTCTGGGCGAATCTGGAAAAAGCCATCACCGTCGTCCTCGTGGTTGGTGAGGCGTCCTGGCTGTCTCTTCTGCGTATATTTCCTCTCGCCTTGGCGCGGGCCCCCCGTCCACTCCTTACGTTGTCCCCATCCTCGCCCCCCTGTTTGTTCCGCGCCCCGCCTCCTCCTCCCCTTCCTGTTGCATGAGCGCGCATGTCGATGTTCCTCGGCGCCGTCGCCGCCACGGCCAGCACAGGCGCGTTCTCTACTGGTCACGTCGCGCAGCCGTTGGGACAACCCCGCGGGCCAGGCTGTCGGGACAACCCCGCGAGCCGCTGGCGCGCAAGACCCAGCCGTTGGGACAACCCCGCGGGCTTCGAGCGAGGCGCAGCCGCGCTCAGGCGGAAGGCAGCACGAAGCCCAGCTCTGCCGCGAGCTGCTTCGCCTCCGCCCTGGACAAAACCGCTCACTTGTCGAACTCCAGGAGCGCCTTCCGCAGGGACGCCGGCGGCCCGCACTCCAGGAACTCTCGCGGCGGCGGCCGCAGGATCAGCATGTTCCGCATGCACGTGGCGCGGGAGAACATGACGTAGAGGTGCAGCCACCACTGCTCGTCCGACATGCCCGTGCGGCCAGCGTCCTCGTCTCTCGCGCAGTCGATGGTGACGCCCTTGCGCAGCGTCTGGCCCTGCGACAGCGTGGGGGTCAGGTAGGACGCGTGGGTCAGGGTGAACCCCGAGCGGCGACCGTTGTGCGGCCCCGAGCTCTGCCATGTGAACTCCTTTTCGCTGGGCCTGAACATCAGAAAACTCCGCGCCCGCGCCTCGGCCTGGCCGTCGTCGTCGGCGTCTTCGGCGCCCTGTCGCAGCACCTCGGCGACCTCCTGGTAGATCGGAGACTCCTTGAAGCCGTGCAACTGCAGCCAGATTCCCTGCGGTAGGAAGCGGGGGCGAAAGAGCTGGCCTGCCGAGCACTCCTCGTAGCGCTGCTCGTCCTCGTGGTGGAACTCGAAGGACGCGATGGTGGCCCGCTGCTCCTGCACGAGCCCCAACTTCTTCTTCAGCTCCTCCTGCGCTGCCGTGAACCGCACCTCCATGCCGACGTGGGCCGGCAAAACGCCGTGGATGTCCCCCGTCTTGTGCATGTTCGGGACGTTCAGGAGGCGCCGACCCGCGTCCGGCTCGCCCTGAATCGCGCCGCACTCGTCAACGGCCTGCAGGAAAACAAGGGGCACGCCCAGACGCCGAGCGTCGCGACGAGCGCGCGTGTTGATCCACCTCGCCAGCGTCTCCCAGTATATGCCCATGCCGTAGCCGAGCCGAAAGTTCTCGTGCTGGTGCCGAGGGCCCAGGACGCCCTGGTTGTCCGTGGCCAACGTCTTCTCCCAGGCGGACCAGACTTCAGGTGGGAAGGGCTTGCCCTCGCGCATGCAGCCCAGGAACGTGATCAGAGGGTCCCCGGGCTCGAAGCGCTTCGTGCCCTTCAGCTCGAAGACGCAGGGGATCTGAGAGAAGACCTTGATGGCGTGCTGGATCTCCACCGTCGGCGGGTCCGCGTACCTGTACGACTCGTCGTCGTCCAGGCGCTCGTTCACGTCCGTCAGGGGGCCAATGCTGCCGGTGGGCTTCAGCTGCAGGAAATCGCCGAGGTGCAACACGATGGGCACGCGCCCGAAGTGGTGGTGT